TAGTATTTAGTATATTTTGGTATTATTAGTATTTAGTATATTTTGGTCCACTGAAAGCAGATTTCTGAGGACAAGACGCTCCTAGCTGTGGTCAGGCGTTTTATTTTACATTTCGTTATTTTAGTGGGAGAGGAAGTAAAATGAAGTAACGGTTTGATCGTAGTTTTTTCCTCCTGAGATTTTTCTAAAGACCCAGACGTCGTCGTGTTGATATATTTTATATTTCAGCAGATACACAGATTTAATGGACCATCGGACTCACCAGCTTCCAGGCAGGGCTCCTGCTTCTCAAAGTACTCTGGAGCCATAATCTTCAGCAGCGAGTGGAAGAAGGTCACGTAGGGCAACTTACTGATCAGAACCAGAGACTGGATCAAACCAGAACCACAGAGAGAGACAGAGAGAGAACTGTAATTCTCTGAGGAATCCAGCATTCTGTCAATAACATTCAGGGAGATATGTCCCTGCCAGACTTCACCAGGAACAAGATGGAAACTTAAACTTTAAACGAGTTAAATTTAAAATATTTAAGAAAGAATATGTGCAGAGTGTCGTGTTCTACCTAGCCAACAAATAAAAACTCAAACATTAGCAGTTTGGAGAAGCACAACACTTAGAAAAACTAATAAAAAGCCAAATCCAGATTATATTGGTAAATCTACTGAACAGTAACGTCATCAGCAGAAGCTTTTATATCAAAGGAGAAGGGTTTTGATTTTTGTTTTAACATCTTTTCTACATTTACACGTTGGTTTTATAAAGTTTCCATCTCACCTCGAAGTTGTTCCTAATCAAACCTGGCAAGTCCTGTGCAGATATTTTGATTGAACATCGCTCCAAATCAATAAATGTGTAAATTACACGTTAAATCTGCAGACTTGAACAATTTTTACTGCAAAGGCCACGTCAGAAAACAGAAGCAGCTCCAACCGATAAGCCATAAAACAAAGTTTGAAATGTGTGTGTGTGTGTCGTGAGCCGACCTTCTGAAAGTATCCTCTCTTCAGGGATTTATCTCGCACCTGACGGAAGTACACGTAGCCGTAGTAGTGGCCTTGTTCCCGCTGCAACACAAACTCAGAGTTTCATCCCTGCAGCCGCTTTGAATTCAACTCAAACGTCACCGCGACACGACGGCGAGCGTCCCCACCTTCAGACAGGGGGGCGCGTCTCGATCCGTGGTCTCCAGGAAAAAGCCCAGCGACGACTTCCTGTTGGAGCCTTGGCGAAAGCGGAAGCAGAACTGCGTGTCGCCGAGGCAACCTGCAAACAGCACAAAGACGATGACCTCCTGAAGGCGCCAACGGGTTCAACGAGCCGACAAACAAAACGTGTCGACGCGCTTTACGCTCATTTTCCAACATGCGACGCCGTTACGCTTCAAACAAACTCTCTTCCTCCAGGACGTCCTGCCAAATCTTGTGACGTAGAAGAATAGAACAAAATCTTTATTGTCACTTTATGCTGTATACAGTGAGACTAACACACCTGCAACTGAAGAATTAAACCAAAACACATTCACCACCAAACAAGAACGCATAAAAGGCACCAAATAAACAAATAAAATATAAAAAAACACCCTTGTAATTCTGAGCTCAGCCTCTTGGAGATCATCCAGTAACTTCAAAACAGCTCCGATTCTTTAAAGTTGGGTATGGTGAAAAGGTTATTAACAATCAATATCTTACCCGTTTCAGATAGATTTTTAAATTACTTCAGTTTGGAGAAACTGAGTTTAATTTTGACGAACTGATGACTGAATTGAAGCGGTGAGTCTTAAAAGAAAGAACTCGATTATCAAAATGTTACGTGCTGAAACTTTGAGAGACAGCAGCGTAGCTGCCGCGCGGTGCAGCTTGTCCTAGTAGAGCTACCGTAGCTTCCTGTTGCAGTGATTCTGCGTTTTCACCTTTTTCAGCTTTTATTTGTTGAACCCTGAAGAACATCTGTCTGTAAATAATAGAGGTTATCATAACATAACTTTGTTGACTGATTTTAGGCATTTGGGGACATAACAGTATCGTGATAATTGGCCCAATATGCGTCGATATAAACACTTCTACGGTAATTTTAACCCTTAAAATGCTGGAACCAGCTGCGTCTTTCCTTGTAACGTATGTAATTGTACAATGTATCCAGCAGAGGGCGCATGCGGACTACTTTTAAGGCCATTCACTTTAACTTTCACTTTCAGCATGGCCGAAGCAGCGAGCAACACTGTGTCGAGTATTTTGCTGAACAGAAGTTTATTTTAACTGATCTGTAAATAAAAAATAAAAAAAATAATAATAATCTCTCTTCAACCTGCTTGTCATTAGCTACGTGCCTCTAAAGTTAGCAAGCTAACGTTTCGATAAACTAGCATAGGCTGTTAACTTGTCAAACTTTATTCGGAATAATAAATCTAACGTAGAGGTAAAATATATCCGTGGTTTAAAAGCAGCTGTTTTCTTAGATTCTTGGGGGTGAACAAAGCTAAAAATATTTCACCCAATATATCGGTTATCGGCATTAGCCTTCCCCTCCCAATATCGGTGATAGCCAAAATGTCCATATCGGTCAGGCTCTAGTGTTTATTAATGAAACTGAAACGTTTAGTTTGTGTAAAATATTCCAATGATAAACACAATGCTAATCACGTTAGCTTTTTATGGCATTTTCAATATTAATTAGCATCTGTGCTAATTGTTGGTCATCAGCCTGCGATTAAGAAAAGTTTTTTTTACATAAGTTACTGTTCGATCTTTAGACAAAAATATAATATATATATTCATTCAACCTTTATTTAGACAGGTTTATGCTTCCTTATGTAAAATAAAACCAAAATCACTTTAAGTTTCAAGACTTTCAAAACACGTCAACAGTGGTTTCATAATCGCGGCCTCCTGAATCATCATCCGAAGGTTCCCACTTTGTTCAAAGACGTCAGTAACACACTCCGGTGTTTGTCCCGCTCTGACTAGCCGTTAGCTCGTCGATTCAGTCAAAATTAAAGAATTACTTCAAAACTGAGGCTGTTTAAAAATCTATCTACAACAGGTAAGATATTAATGGTTCATAACCTTTCCACAGAACCTCATAAAAAAAACAAGATCAACTGTTTCAAATCAAATAATTATTTCTGCTTCGTTATAAAACTAAACTGAACAAAAAGCAAGTTTTTTCCTGCAGTGTCGGACTCTTCCGGGACAAAAACTGTAGCGTTGCAGTTCTTCTCATGGTAATTTTAACATGACAGATTAAATTATTGACGTTCTCCTGACACTAATTTAACATCCAAACAAGTGTTTCATCAACGTTCTGAACATTAGAGGATACTTCTGAAGCTGATCGGCCATTTTCTAAACGCAGATTTCAGTGATTCAATTCAAATCTGATTAAAATGTAATTTAAAAAAAATCACCGTATGCGTCCGCAGATTACTGCTGGTCTTCCTGGTTTCAGATTTATTTCATTGTTCTCTGACAGGAAGAGGAAAAAGGAAAAGTGTTCAGTCGAGCGGCGTTGATCCTCGACGTGACGTTTGAACGCCCTCAGGCAGGCGGAGAGAGAGCGAGAAGATAAACCCAGACAGATAATCTGAATTAAACACATTCAGAACTGAAGCTCAAACCCACTGGGCCGGACATCCAGGCGTTCTGCTTCATAACACACACACTTCATCACACACACACACTTCATCACACACACACACACACACACTTCATCACAAACACACACTTCATCACACACACAAACACACTTCATCACAAACACACACTTCATCACACACACAAACACACTTCATCACAAACACACACTTCATCACAAACACACACTTCATCACACACACGAACACACTTCATCACACAC